ACACAAATTATTCATTTTCTTCAAACTGCTTCCGAAGGTGCCACATTTGGTTGCATTTTCATGTTTTCTTGAATGCTACTGAGACAACCAGACAAGTATTTGTCCTGAACACCACAAGGTGGATTGTGTACTCTCCTATGTCCTCAAAATTAAAGTGAAGAGAGTTAAGCTTGTAAAAGTTGTAGGCTAGCTGGAGTATTTTTTGAGCATCAAATTTAATGTATATAAGATGTATATATGATGTCTATATAAATGTGATGGCAATGGCTGTGTTTTCGTCCTTGAAAAGAATACCTTTCTATATTTTTGTCAGTGTAACTATTTAGTGTGGCATGGTTATTAAAATTAAACAGTGATCACATTATGTGATTCTCTAAATATGATAGTGCAAAGTAAATATGATGAATGCTATTGGTTCTTGTCTTTACATCTAGCACAAGGAACTGAACTGTGCTGATTTTTTTCTTGTTCACATTTTTCAATGATTTTGTATGGATGAATAAATATTTGAGATTAAAGTGCAGAATTCTATAGTTCATTGGTAGTAATTTAATTGGGAACTCATTGGTGCCACAGGTTGGAGATTCGGATCAGAAGTTGGCAGATGGAATTTCACTGTACTCTATTGTGTCTGATCTATACACTAAAGCAGGAATTCTGGCACCTCTGATAACTGTATGAATTCAGATACAATCTTTGCTCTATTTTTGCATCAGCTATAATTAGTGATTGCTATTGTGATATCTATTTGGTTATAAGTAGCTTATTAATATTTTATATTTTATACCAAAATGATTGCAATTGAGTCTGTTTGGTCCTTAGACAAGGCTCATAATTTTCCTTTCCTAATGGTATATACTTTGGTTAGGAACATGCGAATGGAGGAAAATGTATTGTTTTCACCCAAACCAAACGTGATGCTGATCGATTATCATATATCATGGCAAAAAGCCTTAGATGTGAGGCCTTGCATGGAGATATTTCACAAACTCAGAGGGAAAGGACTCTCGCTGGCTTCAGAAACAACAATTTTAATGTTTTAGTAGCAACTGATGTTGCTTCAGGAGGGCTTGATATTCCAAATGTGGATCTCGTGAGTTTTGTTTTGCTAAACTTTTTATTTAAAATTGTTGTTATCATGTTCTGTTTCTTGTTTGTTGATTAAGGTTCAAGAACAACTCTTATTTTCTACATGGTGGTTCCTCCTTTGTTATTACTGTTCTTGATATGTTTGAGATATTTGATACTCTATAATTGGATGCTGTGTTTTTTGAAAGAACTTTTGTGTGGGAGAACTTGAATATGTTTAGGATATTTTATTATCTGGATTTCCCTAAATTTTGAGTGTAATAGGAAATTATGGGGTAATGTTTCCTTTCTAGATGCTTATCTTCAATTCTTAACTATTATCTGACTTTGCTGTATTGTTTTCTCTTTTTCACTACATCTGCTTTTGTGAATCTTGTTCACTCTTATCTTTTGTGCCTTCATGTAATATATTCTGTGTATATGCAAACACATTGACATACACTGTTGTTCAATTTGTTCGAAAGTAAATCTTTTACTTGTTTTCGTGACATAGGTAATACATTATGATCTTCCCAATTCATCAGAGATATTTGTTCATTGATCTGGACGAACAGGCCGTGCTGGGAAGAAAGGAGCTGCTATTCTTGTTTACTCAGAAGATCAATTCAGGGCTGTGAAGACTATTGAGCGTGATTTTGGATGCAAATTTACAGAGGTGATCTTTGCTTCCTATTCATTTGCATCCTTCTTTCTTATTTGAAGTTGTCCTTATTATTCTAGTCTGTTACTACAAAATGATGGTTAGCCTATTCTCTGTCCATAAGTCCAGTCCAGCTCACCCCTATGGGAAAACTGAATGTGCTACCTCCCAATGTTAGGGAACTTTGTTGTTGTGGTGAATATCCCTATTTTGTTACTAGACTGACTGAATCACAGAAGAAAGTCTTTAATAGTTTAATATGCTAAGGTTTTTCACTACCACTGGGTGCTAAGTACTGATAAAACTCAAGTTGCTGAAAATCTTAACCAAGTCTTGTCTCTTCTATATCTATGTTCTAATCATTAATCTTGGTAGTTCGTGCATGATGAGTTCAGAGTGTGATAATGTATGTACATCTGAATCCATGTTCAATGGTCTACTGTCTAGGGTCTACTTTGCCTGATACTTGTAACATCAAGCAGGGAGGGATGAAGCTGCAAAGTCTGATGTAAAAACCTCAAAATTATATAATGATATTATTATGGTGTTTGGAACAGACATTTAGTTTTGGTAAAGGACTAGGATATGATATTATTGCAATGCAGACTGCACTCACATGATTCTATGATTACTGGAATGCAGATTGCAAATTTCATTATCACAAAATTGTATGAATTTGATGCTTAATTACATGAGGCATACATCTGCTGTTCTATGGTTAAGTAGTATTTAATATTGAAATAAAAGTAAAAGCTTGTTTCAAACCTGTTAATTATAGGTTGTTCTTGAATCGTTAACTTAAAGTGTAAAAGGTCAACAGAAAGTATTTGTTGTAAGATGTTAAAAAGTTAAAACTTAAAGTTCTAAACTGAGTTCATGGGGAATGATCTGTGATAATGGCTGAAGTTCTTTATGCACATCTTTGAGGGCTTTACCCAACATATTTTCAATAACTTCTAATGGAGCAGGAGTTTATATTGTGAATTCTCTTTTTAATCAAATTGGATTAACAGAAAATTGAATCTTTATGAAACTGATAATGCTTAGAAATTTTGATCTTTGAAGTTGGCTGTGGTTTTACAATTCTTCATGTGCCCATATATCTGAAAGTTCAAATCTTTCTGCTATAAGTATTTTTTTTCATACCTTGAGTTTCTTACTTTTTTTTTAGCCTACCTATGCTTCTTATATTCTAGGTCACTCTTATTTTGTTTAATGACTAACTGCTTGCATCTTATTCCAATATTCGTGTTTATCAGCTACCAAAGATTGATGTTCCTAGTGGATCAGCAGAGATGTTTGGTGGGATGGGTGGTGGCAATTTTGGCCCTTTTGGAGGTATGAGGGATTGTCAATCTAGAGGTTCAGGTTTTGGTCGCAGTCCTGGATTTAGCTGTTCTGGGAGTTACAGTAACTCTGGATTTGGCCGATCTAACTATGGAAATTCCAGTGGGATGGGAAGGTTTGGAGGACCAAATTCTAGCCTTTTTGGTGGCCCTGGTTCAGGTCAGTTAGGAGGATCTTCTGGTAATTCATCTGGTGAAATGGGTAGATATGATGGCTTTGGTTCAGGTCAAGCAGCAACTCAATTTGGAGGAAACTCTTACCCAGATGGTTTTGGAGGATTTGGTGGTTCAGGTCAAGCAGGAGCTCAATCTGGTGGAAATTCTCATCCAGGTGGTTTTAGAGGATTTGGTAGTTCAGATCGATATAGCAGTTTTGGAGATTTTGGGCAAGGTCAATCTGGTGCATTTGGTGACAGAAAGTCTAGCCAAAGCAGCAGCTTTGGTGATTCACGTGGTAGTGGTTTCGGTGCTTTTGGTAATGACAATTATAATGGAGGAAAGTCGTTTTAATTTCATCAACTTGGTAAGTGCAGCATATTCATTTCTTAATTGTTTAATTTTGGCCTCTTGCACTGTATAGTTTAATGTCTTTATCTAAATTTTCAGGCATCCTGCCAATTCCCCGTATCTCTTGAGATGGAAAAGGTTATGGCATAAGAATAATATTAATACCATTTTATTCTTTGAAGCATCACTCTTTTTTCTTTCCTCTTGGCACAATCTTCAGCTCAAACTCGACTCTAGTGTTATTTACTGCCTCCATGGCAAAATGAAGGGGGAAGGCTGTATCATCTGCATGTTCCACTTCTGCCAATCATTTGTCTGGCTCATTATTTCCTTCATTCCACTTCGAAGTGGTTCGGTAGAGTATGACTCATTGACTCTGAACGTACATCAGTGTATGTATATGCCTTGAGAATTTTGTAGCAGCAGCTTTATAGAGCAGTGGTGATCCAATTTATTTAGTATTTGTTCCTCAAAATTTATAATGGGATAGAAATTTTAGAAACAGGTAGGTGAACTTCTGTTCATATACATATTTTTACAGTGTTGCATATTATCATACATGGAAGTTTTCATTTTTCAACTGATGTAATATTAATATATCAACAATTTGTTTTTGGTTGCACCGTGGGTAACTTTTGGGGGATGAATGAAATATTAAACAGCATCTTATTTGATTAAAGAGCATTAGGCCCAAAAATTGCTGAACTGCATTGAATCGTAAAGAACTCTAGATAGTCGGTTGAAGTTGATGGTCAACAATAACTTGATGCTAATTATTTTTTACTTTTTTCCATTTGCTATTGAATTGCTCCAAAAGTTTGGGGGAACCCGAATCGCTGCCTCTTCTGTTAATGATAAAAACTTAGGTTATGATAGACTTTGTTTTAGTTGAGAATTTGTCAAATTGGAAAGTTCATCAGGTAACTAAAAGATGTTTTTTTTTATTTCTTTTTACCTTTCGTGTAAATATTCACTCAATTCTAAACTAATAAATTACATAATTTCGTCTGATGATTTTTAACTTCCAAATATTTTAATTTTCTTTTGCTTGTAAATATTTTATTATGGCTTTTTATTATTCTCTAGGGTAAATTAATATACTTAAGCTTGTTATTTTGGACAGTTGACTTTCGGTAATCACTTTATAATAGCTGTATAGAGGTGTTAAAAGAGATTATTATTATTCTTTTAATTTTTACAATTTTATGCGTATAAATGACTTGTATCCTGATACGTGCATATTGTCCTCCCCCTCCCCCCTCTTTTAAAATAACATTTCATAATTGGTTGTGACTCTTCATAATTAAGTTCTTAAATTTGATTGCCTCATGGTGTAATCTCGGACGTGTATTTGACAATTCCTCCAAGACTAAGGTGGTAGAGTGATATAAAATTGTGTGACATGCGTGATTCATTTACCTATTTTTTTTTAATGCATTTCTTATCATTTATTTTATTGTTGTACATTCTTGCACCTCATGTATGTATGCTTTGTTTTGCAAGTTGATATGTAGTTCGTAGAATGTCGTATTGGATTATTATGCTTCATTTTCGTTGTATTCACTGAGCCAGGCGTCAGGACCTTATTAGTTATGATAATCTGGAACCTATTTGTGATTTTTTACTGACCTTGGAAACATTGAACTATTAAAGTCAACTTAAAGCTCATCCAAATAAGCAAAAACACAAGTATAGATAGATTTAGGTATACAAGCTCATCCAAATTGAGGCCGATGATGTACAACAGTTTTAGATATCCAATCTTAGTAGATGTTAAAATTTTAAAGGAGATTTGTTTTTTGAACACTTACAATTTTTTTGGAATCGGAAGAAAAAAACCCATCGATGATTTTACCAGTTTACCTGCCTATAAAAGTCCCTAGAAAGCATAAATTCGAAATCTCAAGCCACATGGCCACTTTTTCCACTTCTTCTTCAGGTAATCTAAATCTATATCCCCTACAACCACAACCATAAGCCGTAAATATCTCAAGTTGTGGCAATATATGAATAGTACTTGGTAGCTGGTTCAGCCTTTGGCAATCCCTCAAGAACAATTGTCGAAGCCCAACAAAATTTCCAATCGAAAATGGCAGTTCATCTATATTAGTATGATCCAGGTAAACCTCTCTTATATTCTCCATCATTCTCAACACTTCTGGGAATCTCTTTAGACGTGAGCAATCCCTCAGATCTAGAGTCTCTAGAGATGTCAAGTAGATGAATGGTACCAAAATTTCTAGCTGGGTGCATCCTTGAGCTCTCAATAACTTAAGTTTATCAAGAAATCCAACTGAACTATGAATTCTAATTAAATCAGTGCAGTTATTAAGAGACAATATCGTCAAATTTGGTACTCCAGATAAGCTAGGCAGTTCAGTTAAGAACTTGCAGCCTTCAAAATCCAGTGAGCTCAATGACTCAAACACCTACAAAACAAAAGCCAATGCCTCAGATTACGAGTTTTCAATAGGACATACATGTTAGTGCATATGGCCAACAAAATTTGCTATTACAAGTGTTTTGAAAAAATACTTGCCTTGAGTGATTTGAATGACTTAAGGCAACTTTCAGGCAGGCTGAGAATAACAAGATTCTTGGGATTAAAGTTAGATGGTAATGATGGTGATGGATATCCACTCCAGTATAGCACTCTCAGACTATTAGGCAGATTTTTAGGGCCTCTAGTAAAGTGTGCATTTCTGATTATGAGAATTTTCAAGTTTTTCATCTGGCTGAAAGCTTTTCCGCTCCACTGCACTTTTTTGTCTTTACTCAAGTCCAGGACTATGACTTCAATTGCATCAGTTCCCTTTCAATTCCAAATCATAATTTAAAGAGTGTAAAGTTTAAGATTGGAGAAATTTACAATCATAATGTTCTTTTCTGCTTATAGTAACAAGTTTCATCAAACATTTGAAAATGAGACCAGGGAGAAAAAGGAAAGCAAAGAGAAAAAAAATACCATGTAGATGTTTGTAACATACCGTATTTTCCTCCAAAACATGAACAATATCCTGGTTAAACCACAATCTACTGCGTCTGCCAGGCTCAGATGATTCCTGCCTCACAATTTCTCTTCCCATATCTTGAATTAGATCATGCATTCTCACACAGCCATTGCCATCAATTTTCATGAGAGATTTGTCAGTCAGCACCTGAATACCATTTTCCGCATGAAAACCATGCAAGTTTAGCATTTCTTTGACATTGCCAATCTCGAAAGAATTGAAGAAACAAGCAATGTCGAGAAAAATTCCCTTCTCTTCTTCTTCCAAGTTATCATAGCTAACTTTAAGTGTTTCATGGATCTCTTTATGAATGATTCTTTCATATTTATCTAATGCAGATGTCCACACATGTAAACTTTTGCCAAACAAGTGAGAACCTATTACCTCCAAAGCCAATGGAAGACCATGAGCATAGGAAATTGCCCGTTTTGAAACATGTGCATAACCCGGATCAATTTTGTTACTTCTGAAGGCATGCCAACTAAACAATTCAAGGGCTTTTTCATCATTCAACTCTTTAACTTCATATGATTTAACAACCCCATGAGTGCACAACAAATGCTTGTCTCTTGTTGTGATTATGACCTTGCTGCCAGAGCCAAACCAATCACGCCCCCCTGCAAGTACCTTTAACTGCTTCACCTTGTCAACATCATCAAGAATCAAAAGGATCTTTTTACCGTGGAGCCTCTTTTTTATTATTGGAATTCCTCTGTTAACATCCCCCACTTTGATATCTTTCTCCCCAAGTGTTTCAGCAAGTAATGTTTCTTGAAGTTGTGCAAGATCGTGGTTGTTGGCCCTTTCTCTTATGTTGGAAAGAAAACACAAACCTTCAAACTGAAAAGCTAGCAAGTTGCACACAGCACGAGCAATTGATGATTTACCTATTCCACCGGTGCCGTAAATGCCCACCATGCTAACTCCTTCTTCAGAGCCTTGTCCGAGGAGAGATGTCACTTGCAGCACTGGAGACTCAAGGCCAACTGGGTTGTCAGCTACATGTAGAAGACTGCGATTGATCCGTTTAGATACCTCTTTAACAATCTTGTTAATAAACTTGGATTCTGATTGTGATCTGCAACATGTGAAAGTGAAACTGAAGCATTTTATTGGTGTTTTTCTTTTCATTCACATCATCTAAAACTTAAGTCTATTTAGATACAAACTTCTTAAAACTATTTGAGTGTTTTTTTACTAGAAAAAATCTTTATTTTTAATATAGAAACTCTAAAAAAATTAACATCTAAATTTGAATCTAAACATGCCTTTAGTTTAATTTTGATATAGTATTGGTGTATTAGAAATCACTTTAGATACAATTTTAAAGCAACTCTGCCTTAATTTAATTAATCTATTTTTTTTTTAAAATAAAAAGGCAATTATTACGAGAATTTAATTAGAATGCACAAACACTGCAAAAGTGTTTTACACTAGCATTAAATCATAGATTATCATGCAAGATAAAACTGTTGACTTAAGTAATAATTACTTTGAAGTTAAACAATCATATTTAGATAATTTATAATTGACTTACAATATAAAAGTGATACATAAAAATTAAAGTCTTAATACAAAATGAACAATCAACATAGATTTGAAGCAAAAGTGATGGTGTGAGATACCCATGTTGGAAATGCCAGCCAGCCATATTAGCAGCTCGAGACAAAGCCTCTCTCCATTTCATGACCTTGTCATCATTCTCATGGTTTTCCAAAGCTTCTGCATAACTCCCACTTTGGTATCTAACCTGCGACGGATCCACTCCATAGAACACCGGCCAAAACAAGCGTCCTCCCCGTTCCTCCAAGCACTCCATGATGGTAACAAGCTCGTTCAAACAGTGCGTTGAGGAGGCATAGTTCTCAGAGAAGACAGCAATGAAGATCCTTGACTCTCTAATGGCTTGCCCAAGAGCTGGCATGATCTCTTCTCCTCTGTTGAGTCCTTCGTCTATGAAGGTTTGGATACCCTTTTGGCAGAGAGAGTTGTAGAGATTACCCGTGAAGCTCTTGCGGGTGTCCACCCCTCTGAAGCTCAGGAACACGTCGTATGTCCAATCGCAGGTGAAGGAGGTTCGACATAGTGCTGTTGGTTCTCTCATTCTAGTAGTATAAAGGATTTACCACTAACCAGGATACTAGAATGATGCAATGAATACTGATACATATATATAAATACATGGAGAATGTATCATTACTCTAATTTATTATTTATCCATTTACGTAGTCAACTAATCATAACAAAATAAATGGGAAGAATTTTCGGAGAATGTATCCATTAACGTAGTCAACTAATCGTAACAATTGAAATACACATCCCAAATTTGAATGTGTGTAAACGCACCAAATGCAGTTCCAGATTTCAGAAAAAGTAAATCATTGCATTCTTTCTGTCTAATTTCTTTCTCTTTTTAAATTAAAGAGAAATAACCAATAAACACACAGACACCTATGTCTCTGCAAATTCTTACAATGAATTGTCGCAACGTGTTGGCTGCGTGTGGGTGTGAATTTGTTGTAGTGATAGTTTAATGAAAATCAGAGTATTAAAATTTGTGAACGATTAGGGTCGGTTAAGAATCGGAGCAATAAGTATGAGGTTTTTTTTTTTTTTTTTTTTTTTTTTTTCAATTATAATATAAAATATCTATCATAAAAAATAATGATTAAATCTCAAATATGAAAATCATGAACGTATATAAATACTTTTCAATATAATTTAATTTATACTTAAGATTAATATCTTAAATATTTTATTTAAGATACAAGAATTGTTATCAATTGTGTTAAATAATATTTATATTACTACTAGAATTTTTCTTATTATATGCGTCTTTTCATGCAGATTTTATATAAAATTTTGCAGTAAACATTATTCTATGAATTTTTCTACGAAATTTTATCTCCAGGTAATACCTTCGTAGATAATAATATACTTTTACGAATTTTAAAATTTGCAAGAAATTTTCTTGTAGAACTTTTTGTGAAAAAATTTGTAAGAAAGTTTCTTATGAAAAAAATTTGTAGGAAATACGAAAAATTTTGCAAGAAAGTTTTCTGCGAATTTTTTTGCAAGAAATTTTGTAGGAAAATTCTACAAAATTTCTTATGAAAAAAATCAAAAAAATTACTACAAAGTCTATTAATAATTCTTCAACTTTCAAATATTCACAATAACATCCGAAACATTAAGAAATTTGCTTCCACGCCTCCACCATGTGATATATTTATAAATAATTTATCATTAATTTATCATATTTATAAAGTTTTATATATTTAATTTAATTAAAATTAAAATTAAAATTAATTATAATGATATATTTATAAATAATTTAGTAAAATGACATTTTCTTAATTAAAAATATTTTAATTATTAAATTTATAAATTTAAACTTTTTTTTATTTTCCTGCAGATTAATATTGGCAAGAAAATCAACCGGAAAAGTTACATGTGTAACACCCCAGTTTTCAAAAAAGTTATTATTATTATTATTATTATTATATGGTATTTAGTCAATTATTTTAATAATTATAGATGAATATTATTTTGTACGTTTTAAATAATTATTGTTTTGGACAATTATTTTGTATGTATTAAATAAATATTTTTATTAGCATTTTTAAATAAATATTTATATGTTTTAAGAGAAGGTTGATTTTATATGATATTTTGTTATTGAAATTTATATTGTTATATTTTGTGTCAGAAATATATTTATTATAGAGGAAAAATATTTTATAATATACATGTATTTATTTTATTTAATTATTTTGAGGAAAAAGAGAAGTGGGTTAGAAAAGAAGGAAAATGGGTTGGGTTGACCCAGCCCAATAGATTAATTTTAAGAAATGATTCAGGTAAAAAATAGGAGAAACAAAGAACTCTAAGGAAGAGTACTTAGGAACGATCTTTAGATCACACCAAGATCATTCGTCTTCTGCTCATTCAAGTAAGGGGATTGAGAAACCTCGCTCTGGGTGTGGGAATATATGTTGGGTAGTGGGATTGGCCCCCAATCCCGTGTTTGTTGTAGTTGTTGTATGCTCATGTATGAGGAGTTTTTCCCAATTGTATCTGTTTCGCCTATTATTTTTCTTATATGTAATTAATTGTATGATTTGAGATCTTTATGGGTTCCTATGGGAAACCCTAAGGGAATGCATTGGTGATTGTAAGAGGAGATGGTCTGAAGAGGTAATTGTATAAATGTTTATTATATGAATTAGAGTGCTCTGTGGGTTCCTGTGGAAACCCTAGGAGAAACAGATAAAATATGAATATTTTCTGTTTTGCTTTCTAATTGTTCTTATGTATTCCTTGTTGAATGAGATGTATAAAGATGTGTTTATTTTTGAAAATAGACCAGTTTTGATATGATTTTGAGTGCTCTGTAGAGATTGTGTGAATATGATGAGATGATGTGAAAAGTGATGACTATGTGAATATGATGAGATGATGTGAAAAGTGATAATGAGACATGATGATGTGATATGATAATGAGACATGACAATGTTATATGAGAATGCATAGAGTCTTGATTGACATGCATCATTTGCATAAAAGTTTTTAAGGGTACGATATGGAATACATCGCCAGGGAAGGCTCCCTAGTGTAAAAGATTTGGGGATTAGTCCTTGGGGGATAGCTCGGTTTGGAAGTCTCAGTCTCGCCCATCGTGTGAATGGGATGTATCTTGCGCGACTTAGCTATCCCGACGAGACCCTGGTAGTATGTCTTTCTAGTGAGAGTGCGCAGAGGGTGTGACCTGACATGTACTCCTAGACTACTCTTCGTGTATTGCTAGCGGCAATATGCCATGTGGTGTTTTATTAGCGCCACATGCATGATAATATGTAGTCTGTGTCCATACATGTGCATTTTTAATGTTATATGATAAATTGATATTTTTATGTCTTGGATAAATGAGATGTAATATTTTTGTTAATTTATCTATGTTATACCTGTTTTGTTTGTATTTGGTTATTCGGCGTATATTTCTACACTATGAGCCAAAGTGAGATGTTTCTCACTCCCTTTTCTCGTGTTGTTTTTCTTTGAATGTTATACAGGTGATCATCAGCTTGAGGCTGAGGATGTTAGTGATGAAGCTTAGGCTTCTGTGTTGGGCTTTGCTTAAATTGGCATCAGAGCTTGCGTGCGAGAGGTGAGTGTGAGCCGACCTGGTGTACCCAGCCCGAGAGAAGAGTATCAAAAAGTCTTGTGAGGTGTGTGAATCGAGCGTATACACTCAAGAGAGATGGCAGGTTTAACTAATGGCATTCCACTACCTAAGTTGACTAAAGATGTCAACTACGACAACTGGAAGGTGCAGATGAAGGCCCTTCTTGGCTCCCAAGATAACTGGGACGTGGTTGAGAATGGGCAGGAGGAACCGGTGACTACCGAGGGGTATACAAATGCCCAATTGAATGCATTGAAGGTTGTTCAAGGAAAGGACAAGGCAGCACTGTATTTGCTGTACCGAGCTGTTGACGAGTCGAGTTTTGAGAAGATAGCTAATGCTAAATCTTCAAAAGAGGCATGGGATATACTTGAGAAAGCAAAAAAGGGAGATGAACGAGTGAAGAAAGTTCAGCTTCAAACTCTTAGGGGCGAACTGGAAAACATGAGAATGAAGGAGTCCAAAGGAGTATCCGAATTTATCACTCGGGTAGAAACCGTGGCGAACAAACTAAACAGGAATGGAGAGAATCTTCCCTCAAGCCGAGTTGTGGAGAAGATCTCAATACGGCCGTATTAAGTTCAGTACGGCCGTATTGGGCTTCATTCCCTCCACTTCCTTATTTTGAGCTATTCTAAGACCTCTAGACCTACAGAGAACCCTCCTAGGGCCTTCCAGGAGTCCTTCTGGCTGATCTTCCTTCAGTCTTCGAGAGTCTTCAAGCTTTATTTCCGACCCGGACAATTTTAGGGGTCTACACTAATGCTTCGATCCTGTTTCCTCTACCCAAGGTAAGACTTCCATTGGTGATAGATCAAGGTAGGCAGATTGGTTTTCTCATCAAGGTTGAGGTAGTAAAGAAAGAACCTGTTAAGGTCTGTCACATGATCTTTCGACCTTGTTCTTGGTAGGAATATGTTAAAAAGCAAGTTGTGAAATAACCTACATATGGGAGAAAGGTTAGTAGCTCAAAGAAACCTTTTCAGCACACACTTGTTAGATGGGTGAGGCCCATTGTTGTAGGTTATGGTATACACAATGTCTTAGGTGAGTTAAGTCAGACGAAGCAATTCTCAACAAAGTTTTGAACATGACAAATATAATACATATTTTTATTTCTAACATGTGTGTTAGTGTTTCAAATAAATATAAGAACATGCAAAACTGAAAAATGAAGTACGTGTTATTACACATACTATGGTCAAACCAAACGAAGCCTGGTTAGGCTGCATAAAACATCAGACGATGGTTGATCAAGCATCAAGACTAAGCCTGATCAAAAGCCAGATGAAAATACAACAAATACAAGACAAGGCGTACTACCAGTCGAAGGTCAACAAAGTATTAGACGATGGATAACACAAGACAAAGAAACGTTCCAGATGGACAAGGCGTACTACCAGTCGAAGGTCAAAAACGTATCAAACGATGGATAACGTAAGATGAAGAAATGTTCCAGACAAAATTAAAGTCTTCCATCTTCACAACTGACCAGACAGAAGGAAAAGTCAAAATCTACGTCTCAGACAAAGACTCAAATTTGAGATGCATTACCAGACGCAGATGAAGAATACTGAAAAGCATTTTGACGAGGAAGAGGAGTTGCCTTTGTCTGGGATGGCAAGTGTGAGAGTAGCTTCCAAAGTCTTAATTAAGGAAAGGTTGGCTAGTGCTAATATTACTAGATTTTAGTAAGCCTTTTATGGTATATAAAAGTGCTTCTAAGATAGGTTTGGGATGAGTGTTGATGCAAGAAGGAATAGTAGTAGCTTATGCTTCTAGGAAATTGAGAAATCATGAGAGGAATTACCTTACCCATGACTTTAAGTTAGCGGTTGTAATATTTATACTAAGATTTGGAGACACTACCTATATGATTCTAAGCTTGAGGTATTTAGTGATCGTTAGAAAAGCCCAGGAGTCTGAACCGGTGACTACCGAGGGGTATACAAATGCCCAATTGAATGCATTGAAGGTTGTTCAAGGAAAGGACAAGGCAGCACTGTATTTGCTGTACCGAGCTGTTGACGAGTCGAGTTTTGAGAAGATAGCTAATGATCAACCAATTCCCATGTTCTATTTTTCTCAATCATAGACAATTATTTCTTCATTGCAACCATCCAATTTTGATCTTTCTCTACTGTTCCAAAATCTACAAGTTCACAAACAACAATGTTGCACCTCTCATAAATATGAGTAATCTAGTACCTCTTGCTGGAGCATCATCTACTATTTCATTCTACAAATCCTCTTCTTCCTCTTCAATTCTTAAAGCAAGAAACTTAAACTGTAGATCTGTCACACTTTGATTCTTCTTCCTTGTCTCATCCCATTTCCATTCTTCATCTTTTACGAAGTAAACATCTTTGTTAACAAAAATGCTTCCAGTTTGTGGTTGAAAAATTTTATAGGCTTTGTTGATAGTGCTATAACCTATAAAAATGTCTAGTGATGCTTTTTTGTCAAGATTGTCACACTTGCTTTGTGGAACATGAGTAAAACACAAACATCCAAATATTTTGAGAAAATTTAAAGATGGTTTATGACAATACCAAGTTTCATATGGTATCTGATCCTTGAATGCTGTTGTGAGGAGTCTATTTTGCAAGAAAATAGTCTTATGTGCTACTTTTGCCCAAAATTTCTTTGGTAGATTCTTCTCATGCAACATGCATCTAGTCATCTCTAAGATGTATTTTTTTCTCCTTTCACTTACCCCATTTTGTTGTGGAGTATAGGGAGTGGTTAACTAATGCTCAATGCTAGCTTCCTCACAAAATCGATTGAATTTTTTTGAGGTATAATCCTTGCCATTATTAGATCTTAGAATCTGAATTTGTTTGCCACTTTGATTTTCTACTAATTATTTGAACTTCCAGAAAGCTCCAGCAACTTTTGACTTGAATTTTAAGAAAAAAATCCAACATATTCTTGTTAAATCATCAATAAAGGCAACATAATATTGATTAACTACTAATGAAGGGGTTCTTTGAGGTCAATATATATTTGTGTGGACTATCTGCAACTTACAAGTGGCTCATTTTGATGACTTCAGAAATGGCCTTCTTTTTTGCTTTCCAAATAGCATGTAGGTAGTTGATCATCAAAATCTGGAAAATCAGTTGCCATTCTGTTAGACTTCATTTGTAGAAACCCTTGGTGGTGATAATGCCTGAGCCTTTTGTGTCAAACTTCTATGATGTTTTCCTTGATTAAAAAAGTAGTTTTCTCTTCCTCCAATGGATTTAGAGCAACTTTTTTCCCTTTCATTTTTATTTTAAAGATGTCTTGACTAGTTGCATCTCTAATCAGGCAAAAATTGTCTTCAAAAGTAACTTTAAAACCTCTTTCAATCAATTGGCCAACACTCAACAAATTTTGTTGAATTTCATGTACAAAGAGGACATTAGGAATAAACTTTGTACCTAAGCAGCTTGTTATTGTAATAGTCTTTTTTCCTTTGACTGATTTGTAATCACCATTGCCTATTCTGACTTTGGTGTAATATTGGTTGGCTTTAATTCTTTGAAAATCTCCCTATCATTGGTCATATGATCGGTGCAACCACTGTCAATTAGCCAACTATCATTGTCTTCGTTGTTACAAAACATGTGGCCACAAAAAGTTGATCCTCCTCCTCCTCCTGATCAGCAACCTTAGTTTCTTCCTCTTGTTGATTTTTGCTCTTGCATATGACTACTTCATGACCCATATGATTGCACTTAATGCATTTAACATCAGATCTCCTCTAACATCTGGATGGAGGGTGACCCATTTTGCCACAATATTGGCAAGGTGAATAACTTTTCTTTTCACCTTTCCTTTGTTGTAATTATTTGTATTACTTTGACTTCGGGTCAGATGATTCCTTTTGTAGTTTTTAGCTTGTTGGCTCTTGGCAAGAAGGGCACTTTCAATAGCATGATCTTTCCTCATCAATCTTCGTTGCTCTTGGGCTTGGAACGCATGTATCACCTCTAGAAAAGTGATTTTAGACAAATCCTTTCTGTTCTCCAACAAAGCAATAGATGCTTTGTACCTCTCCAGCACCGTTACTAGAATTTTTTCAACAATTCTAGAATCTGCAAAATCATTGCTCAATAACCATATCTTGTTGGCAGTACCCAACAACTTGTTGGAGTATTCCCTGATTGTGATAGATTCGTTCATCCTTTAAAGCTCAAATTCTCTCACTAAGTTAAGCACCTGCATGCTTCGAATTCTTTAATCCACAACATATTCCTCCCTTAAAATAATCCCAAATTGCTTTTGCAGATTTGAGAGTCATAATCCTAGTGAAGATGCTTGTAGAGGCACCAACAAAAAAACATTATTTTGCCTTTGCTTTTTGGGCTTTTCTTTCCTTGTGATTCTTGATCTGGGCAACGGTGGGATTGTCTGGCAGCAGAAGGATTTCATAATCTTCTTCTACAACTTCCCAAAGATTCAATGCTTCTAGGTAAGTTTCCATTTTGACAAGCGAAAGATCATAGTTTTCCCCATTAAAAACTAGAAGTGCTACTTGAGAAAAGATTGTTTCAGAATCCATTCTAGGTCCCGTAAGGAAATGGGCTCTTGATACCAAATGTTATAAATTTTCAAGAGAATAGAAAAATAGAGTCTGCTGAATGGAGAGCAAAAACTTATATTCAATGAGAAAGATAGAGCTTACAATCTTCTAAAGCTATGGAGGTACCAAAGGGCTGTCTTGTAGTGTACGTTGGAGAGAAAATGAAGCGGTTTGTGATCCCCATTTCATACTTGATCCAGCCTTCATTCCAAGACTTGTTGAGTCAAGCAGAGGAAGAGTTTGGATATGATCATCCCATGGGTGGACTTACAATTCCATGCAGCGTAGAGGTCTTCCAAGACATAACTTCAACCTTTAATTGATTACAAGTCTAGTACTGTAGAAGACTGACCATGTTTTGTATAGACATTTTTTTACATTAGTCATCTCAATATGTAAAGATAACCCCTTTTTTGAGAAATTGGAAAAATGTAAAGACCATTAATTAGAATGACGAATTTGTTCCTATCTTTTTTTCTCTCTCTCGATTTTAACTCAGCATCATATATGATCTTTCATTCTCCAACAGTTACAGCCTGATCAAACAAGAAGTGAGGCATGGGAAATCATCTTCCGTGAATCTAATCGTGAGATCACCCCTAGGAGATTGCTTGGACAGAAAATGAAGACTGTCCAAAACCTCTGCGAACTAGAATTCCTTTGTTATGTTATATCATAGTTCACACAAAATCAAATAATTGTATGATAAGTCTTATTAACTTCTTATAATTTAAAATGCAAAATTTTTTAGAACCCACAAAATAATGCTTATGTAGTTGCTAAGGGCCTCTATAAAAGCACATGTGCCATGTGATCCTTCACTTCTGTGCGTCACACTTGTTATGAAACTTAAATTAGGAGTTTTATTTTGCTTGAATAATATTAATGGTGTTAATTATGAGTGACATTTAAAGATGCAAACGTTGTTTTTTCTTTCTGCTATAAATAAGTGTAATATTTCATTTGCAATATGAATGAGAATACAGAGAGTTTATTTGCTCCCAATTTATGCCTTTTATTCTTAACAAATTGGCATCAGAGCTTGCGTGCGAGAGGTGAGTGTGAGCCGACCTGGTGTACCCAGCCCGAGAGAAGAGTATCAAAAAGTCTTGTGAGGTGTGTGAATCGAGCGTATACACTCAAGAGAGATGGCAGGTTTAACTAATGGCATTCCACTACCTAAGTTGACTAAAGATGTCAACTACGACAACTGGAAGGTGCAGATGAAGGCCCTTCTTGGCTCCCAAGATAACTGGGACGTGGTTGAGAATGGGCAGGAGGAACCGGTGACTACCGAGGGGTATACAAATGCCCAATTGAATGCATTGAAGGTTGTTCAAGGAAAGGACAAGGCAGCACTGTATTTGCTGTACCGAGCTGTTGACGAGTCGAGTTTTGAGAAGATAGCTAATGCTAAATCTTCAAAAGAGGCATGGGATATACTTGAGAAAGCAAAAAAGGGAGATGAACGAGCGACATGCATCATTTGCATAAATGTTTTTAAGGGTATGATATGTAATACACCGCTAGGGAAGACCCCGTAGTGTAAAAGCTTTGGGGATTAGTCCTTGCGGATAGCTTGGTTTGGAAGTCTCAGTCTCGCCTATTGAGTGCATGAGATGTATCTTGTGCGGCTTATCTATCTTGACAAGGCCCTGGTAGTATGTCCTTCTAGTGAGAGTGCGCAGAGGGTGTGACCTGACATGTACTCCTAGACTACTCTTCGTGCATTGCTAGCGGCAATATGCCATGTGATGTTTTATTGGTGCCACATGCATGATAATATGTAGTCTGTGTGCATACATGTGCATTTTAAATGTTATATGATAAATTGATATTTTTATGTATTGGATAAGTGAGATGTAATATTGTTGTTAATTTATCTATGTTATACCTGTTTTGTTTGTGTTTGGCTATTCGGCGTATATTTCTACACTGTGAGCCAGAGTGAGATGTTTCTCACTCCCTTTTCTCGTGTTGTTTTTCTTTGACTGTTATACAGGTGATCATCAGCGTGAGGCTGAGGATGTTGGTGATGAAGCTTAGGCTTCTATATTAGGCTTTGCTCTGATAGGACATGTGACATCGGGGTATAGATAGGATTAGTTTAAGATGTTCTTATTAAATTATTTTGGAAAACTCAGTTTTATTTCTTTGTAATTTTACGGGCATGTTACTTGGATTAAGTTTACGAATGTGAGCTTTTTACCCTTACGTAGTTGGAAATTTGGTTTTTAATGATGAAAAATTTTATTTTATTTTATTTTTTTTTTATAATTATTGTATATGTATGTTGGGGTAGAGGGTGTCACAACATGCAAAGTTTTTCTATCATTTAGTAAACATTACTTGCGAATTTATTTTTACAAGAAAATCTACAAGAAATAAAATAAAATTCTTACAACATTTTCTACAAATTTTTACCATGGAAAAAAATTGGCTAAAACCCTAATTTGATCTCTTATAATATTAAAAAATTTTAATTTGGTCTCATTTTAATTTTTAGTTTCAATTTAGTCCCAATTTATTCTAATCAAAATATTTCAATGTGGGACTTCCGTCCAAATTTCACAAACGGTGTTAAAGGTCCATAAGAATCACGCCCGTGATTCCATATCACGACCGTGATTCTCACGCCTGGTGTTAAATATTGGTGAGAGAGGGCATTCTTCGTTCTTGTTTTCTAGAAGGTCAATTTGCTCACCATTCACACACATAAACCCTATCCTTATCTCTGATCACCATCGATGTCAGAAATCGTCGCACATTCATCTCCACCTTGTCGCGCTCCCTCCGCTCAGTTATCCTCGCTCTTCATCAACCACAACATCTTTATCGGTGAAACCGTCGTCGCCATGTCTTCCTTCCTCACTGCGATGTCGTTCGCACCCACCAGATCCTCGTTTAGCATCACCTTCATCGTTGTGTTGTCCACCATGTCCTCAATTGCACCACCAGGAGGTATCCCTTGCTCACGTAGGTGATTCCGTTCAGCCCTACAGAACTGTAAGGTGTGTCGTCGTCGGAAGGATTCTTTGTTGTCTCCGTGTACATCGGAGATCGACACAGATCCATTGACGAATACCTTTTAGATGAAGTTTCTGCTGAAGTTTGTCAAGAAGGCGTTGTCGTGGTGGTCCACAACGATGTCGTTTGCTGCGTCGACGTCTTCAGAGGGGAGCGGGGAGAGGAAGCGGTGGCGGTGGCAGGAGCGAAGGTGGTGACTAGAGTGGGGCGTTCATGGAAAGAATAGTATAGTACATTTTGATTGGTTCCCAAGCGTGAGAATCACGGTTGTGATTTGAAATCACGGGCGTGATTTGAAATCACGGGCGTGATTCTCACGGATCTTTAACATCGTTTGTGAAATTTGGATAGAAATCCCACATTAAAGTATTTTAAAGTAAATTAGGACTAAATTAAAAATTTTTAATATTATAAAGGACCAAATTAGGGTTTTAGCCAAAAAAAATTTTATGATCATTAAAATTGTAAAAAATTTGCAAAAATTTCTTGTAGATTATTTTTCATAAAAAAATTTCTAAGAAATATTTCTAATTAATTTTCGCAAATAAATTTGTAAAAAAAATTTGTGAAATTATTATTGCAAGAAAATTCGTAAAAAAATTTTGCAAATATTTTTTGTAGAAAAATTCGTAGAAGAAAGATATTTTTCTAGTAGTGTATTTATTAATATAATATCAGGGCAACTTTTGTTTAAAAAATATTGAAATTTGGAATGCGTGTTTTAAATCGATTTTTATCAAGAGAGTATGTAAAATCCAAACTCGTGTGTGTAGGGTCAACCCAAATTTATTAAAAAATTTGACATCATATTATTTGTTCTTGCGTCAACAACTCTTTGTCCAAAGTACGTAGCATTAGCAATTAACCATATGGAATATTTAAAAAAAAACTAGTGTTATGCATCGGGGGGGTTACCACACATATACACATGTCTTCACATTGGTGAGATATTGTCCGCTTTGGGCCCAAGCCCTCACTGATTTGTTTTTGGACATCACCCAAAAGGCCTGTCGACCAAATGGAGACAATTGTGTGTATATAAACCCATGTTCATCCTCTTGTTTGAACGATGTGGGACTTTGCTTGCATCTCAACAATCCTCCCCTCAAACAAAGGACCACGGTTTACCCCCCTTGCAGCGGAAACTACCAGTATTATCTGATGGTAGCCCCACAGAGCTCACTCAAGCTCAGAGTGCTTGCACCGCCGCTCCATTATGACCTCCCTCATGACAGCGGGTCACGCCTCCTAACCTTCATGTTACTAGAAAGTCTCTCTTCCACATAGACCCACTGTTAGGAAGACTTTCGACACAAGGGATTCTAAACTTGGATCTACCTGCTAGCCATCATACTCGTCGAATGAAAAGTGTTTTGTAAAATATATTACACTTTAGACTTTTAACAATATATATTACACTTTAGACTTTTAAAATTGGTTAAAAAAATTTATAACAATTATAACAATGTTATAGATTTAGAAAATGTAAAGTGTAAAATCTTTTTAAATTGATTATTGAACCAATATAAAAAAAAACTTTTACTTTTAGATAGCAAATTACTAATAGAATTGATCTAAAAAGTTTTATTTATTTGTTCTTGAATAACCCAATGTATAAAATAATCTTTTTTTAGATGTGAAACCAGTTGCAAATCTTTACTTCCTCTGAAAGTAAAATGGGACAAATTAATGTGATGTAATTAAAGAGTATAAAAACTTTAGATGAATGTGATGGACGTCCATTAAGTTGAAATGTTGTTGTACTTGGTATGGTTTACTTTGAATTAACCAAGTTGTATTAATTGTTGAATACATAATAAGAAATTTATTTCGTGTTATATATATAATCGATCATGATTAACTATAATTATACCATATTCCTCTTTTTGTCTTTCTCTTAATGAATATGATATGATATGTTTAATTTTACTAGCAAGTCGAGTGATTCATGTGATTAAGGGTGAGGATTAAAGGTGTTGATATAAGATACTGAATTATATGTCTTCGTTTATTGTTGCATGAGTTGTAGTGATGAATGCCAATGATTTTCGTCTAATATATGCAATATGTACATATGATATTGTTGTGACTTAGTTGTTTCTATGTGTCCTTTATATATATATTTATTTTTTGTCGAGTGGTTAGTAAGAAAATAAAAAGTTAATTAACAATCATATCAATAAGGCTTAAATATGTTGTTGCTAGTAGATGATATTGTATATCTATTATTGTAGATGTTGTGTTGCTTTAAGTTGCAAGTTGAAAGTAGAATTTTATTGCTGTTTATTATATGTTGATGCTATTTTTTTATGTTTATTGTTGTGAGCTTACCCTAGCGTGTTTTTCCTATGTGGTTGGGACTGCGATGACCATACCTTGGTATGTGAGCAGATCAGGATAGGTGCTCTGCTGGACTGGGTGAGCTTCGAGACTCAGCAGGAGGGCTAACGTTGTAGTTAGTTGATTGGTAGCTTTTGACTACCTAGTTGTTGTATAGGGTATTATTTTCTTACTTTCAGTTATATATATTATGAGACTTTTTAGTTGTGTATTCTCATTATACATATAATTGTTTAGTAGTGAGATTTTATTTTTATACTTGTATTTGGACGCTATAGACAGTGTGAGACCTAGCGGGTCGTTACACTTTTA